AATCCTCTCCAACAACTTATTTTTACCCCAACATTTAATTATTAATATATAAAAGAGGGAACATAAGATTTGCAAAAAAAATCTTGGGATCTCATTTGTGTCATATTCCTAATGTTGGAAACTTTCTTGCATAAAATAATATATGTCAATTTTCCCAAAGAATCACACAGGTAAATTTGTAAGACAAGTTAATTTGCAAGACTAAAAAAATATTTTTAACAATTACTTCGATAAGACTAGCTCTTTTCAATGTTTCAAAAATATCTCGCCTAGGCTTACATAGTACCTAGGCCACCTAAGCTTCGGCCGCCTAGGTCTTGAGAGGCCTAGGGAAGCAGAGACCGCTTGTGCGGGATGCTCCGCTAGGTCTTGGTGGTGATTTCCTCTGTTATCGTCTCCACGTCCTCTAACCTCCTCTAAACTCATCTAGCCTCCTCTATCGACTACGAACACCTTCTCTGACTCCTCCAACTTTTAACAAAACCTCTTTTGCCACCACTTAAACCAAAAAAAAAAGAAATCCTCCTAGGCCTAACGCCTAAGGTTTTAAAGATCAGATATCAGGAAAATATTAAATGCTAAATTCATATCAGATAGCAAATATCGGGAAAATATTTGGGGTATGTGGTAAATGTAAAAAACGGATGTTTGCATATATAGTACAACGCACTAAATATAATCTCAACATACTTAACAAAATCTAAGCATACAAAATATAAATTATATATGTTTAGGATTACTAATCAACCTTGTAAAATAAACAAGTACTAGTCAACATTGTAACATTCCGTCTGATTTATTAGGCCAAAATGTCATTTAATATAATGGGAGAATCATGACTTCTCACCCAAAAATTGCCTAATGCGGTATATTATTTTGCAACAAGCTATGTAAAAGGATACATTGGCTAATATATCGGCTAATATCAAGGTTTTAAATGTCGGTTATCAGGGATTTATCGGATGGTCAAAATCCTTATCGGATAGCGAAAATCGGGAATATATCGGGGATAAGTAGTATTTATTGGGATAATATACTAGCAAATAATAAACAAACATAAGCTTTAAAAAAATATAATGTTAGTCAAAATAGAATAATAAACAAGCAAATAATAAGATAACATCAAGAATGAAGAACCATCTATGCATTTATATAAATTATTGTTTAACCATGAGATTCATAAACTAACTTATTAAGTTGATATTTAGTAGTTATAAGCCATTATCAATATCCATAAACAAACATAAGCTAATCACCAATCAACCAAGTTCCAAAAGCAACAAATAGTTCATAATTTGTAAACATTCAAAGAGCAAATCCAAAAGAAAGTAAAAGCTCTCAAATCCTATAGTTCATAATTTGTAAACATTCAAAGAGCAAATCCAAAAGAAAGTAAAAGCTCTCAAATCCTACTTATTCGCCGATAAAGCCGATAATTAGAGCCTACTTATCGACCGATAAGTGCCTTAATCGCCGATAACTCTCCGATAAACCTCAAAAAACGATAATCGGTTAAAAATCCTACTTATACTAGCGAAAAGCTCCAAAATCCGATAATTCGGCGATAAAATCGGATTATCGGCCGATATTTTAAACCATGGCTAATATATCAGTCATATCGGGGATATATAACCCAAAATAGCAAAAAAAAAGGTAAATGATATTTAGAGACCATATCAGGTGCGGCAAGCCATGTAAAACGATATATCGAGCGAAATATTGGGCCATGTTCGGGGTATTAAAAACAATGGTAGCACCAAGGCCCTAAGCACCAATTTGTCACCTAGCGGTGCCTAATGCTTTTGAGAACATTGATTGAACCTAAAACATAAAATAAAAAAAACATCTAAGACCCGTGGAGGCACCTAGGCTTTAGGCATCGGGTTCGGCGCTTAGGCTGCCTAGCGCCTTTTGTAAGCTTGGTTCTTTTAATAAAATAATACATCAATCAATATCAAAGTGTAAATATATGTTTAAGTAACTTCCACAGACTACCCTCAAGTTTTCCTATCTATTCAAGTTAGTGCAAATGGAATGTTTTAAATATTCAATACCTTGTTATGTTTTTGTTGTATACTAGAATGAAGCAGGGAATCTTTCCGTGGTCTACACAAAGACATGGGAAATTTCTTAATCCACAAAGGCATGCATTATCTCTATGAAAAATACAATCCACAAATCTAAGTCATATCGTCAATCTGACAAAATCCAAGGGCCTAGCTTCACAAGGGCTCGTGATCTTCAAGAGATAAGGAAGATATTTCATGAGGAGCTAAAGGATGGAAAGGCTAAGTTGAAAATTTACTAAATGTTTTCTCCTGCATTATCGACAAAACTAACAAGGACGTTTGTCCTAGAAGCTTTTATGCTTTAGGGATGCTTATACCTGATGTTAATGCAATAAATTCTCAAGTGATGCGGAAGCAAGCTAAGGTTTTTAGCCTGCAGAGGGAACAAACAAAATCAATGACGTGAAAGGTAAAGTAGACTAGCTTACAATTACCACAACTCAAGAGGTGCCTTCAGAAACCATTCTATCACGTGCAGAGTCAAATTCTGGCATCGACACAATTTACAAAAGTAGAGGTGTGAGGAATAGTTTGATCCCCTTATGAGATGGAGCATAGATGTGAGCCCACAAATTGTTACATTTTTATGTCCAAAATTTATTCAGTAATCTATATTTATCCAAAAATGGATAATACTCCAAAATCGAGATACGTAAGGAGTAAGAAAGAGAAAGCTATAGTATAATAATTACATATAGAAGACTACCTGTCTGGCTATTCCACTGATTAGCAACATAGAGAGGACCAAATGACCAAAAAAGTTATAATATTCAAGCTGTAGCAAAAATAAGATGGCATTTCATAAAAAAAAGGAACAAAAAAGGCTAAAATCGAGAGGAGAGAAATAAATTACAGAACATGAACCAAAATCAATTTGCAAGGAAGAGGACAACATATAAAAATGACCAAGAGAAACTTGAAATCAACATAAAATTCAAAAGCTCGAAAGTGATTAGTTGCAGGAAAACAAAAGTGGAAGCCTAATCATGAATGCAAACAAACTTACCTACAATGAGGAAAGAGAAAATGGTTGCTCCCACAACCACATGCTACTAATGTGAAAGTACGGATGACCTAGAGCATTAGGGGATAAGGAAAGAGGCATGAAGAAAAACTTCATATATGCCTTAATCAATGATACTTCTTTGCTCTGGCTCGAAGTGTGTGCCCCAGCAGAGAGCCTATTTAGGGTATGAAGAGCAAGCTTCATATGCCTCAATCAATGAGGCATATAGCACTTTAGAAAGAAACAACTCTAATTTGCCACATGCGACTAGCTACTAAAACTTCATGAGACACCCCTCAAATCACTTTTTCAAACAATATAGATAAATGTTCATATAGAATTACCCCTTTCATTCATGCTTTGGAATCATTTAACGAATTGAAACTTACAAGGATAGGTTACAATTTGTTGACTCTGTTGGTCATCCCCATGTGATCCATGTCTTTAATAGTACATTATTTACTGACTTTCTAAACTTTAACTCCATGGCATGTCTAAGGGAGAGCATTATTATTGAACATCCAAGGTCCCTTTCTCTATTCTCTCCACATAACATTGATTCCTTCTCTTTAGGCTTCTCTTCTCATTGTTATCCTATACAATAACAATTTTTCTTCTCAAACCCTCCTCTCTCCCATAACCGTAAGGACACATAGCGCTACATGATGAGAAAGGAAAGACCTAACTAGTGTAATCTTATTGCAAAGGTAGACTTAATTTGGATGAAGATGGGGTACCAAAGTGCAACTAGGCTAAGAAATAAATAAAAAATTATAGTAAACTAATGAAAAGAAGTCACAAAATGAAACCAAAGTTACTTTAATCTTTTAGAATATCTTCGAGGGTGTTTAGGGGGAGCTATTTTACGGTCAATGTCACTTCTAAGCTAGCTTTTCCATGTATACTTATTTGATATGACATAATAAATAATCTAGCTTTAAAGCCTAATTTTAAAAAGTTGGCATTCCCCGACTTTTTATAAACTAGCTTATGAACTCATCCAAATTGCAAAGATTAGCATGATGTGTTTTCACATAATGCTCGTTTTAAATCATATCAACACAATGCTCATTTTAAATCTAATTACAATGTCACATTCTAGAGATATAAATTGACTTCAAAGATCCAAATAATAAAACACTAAATAAATATGACAAATCTTGTACTAAAGAAGAATACAACATAAGAGCAATGAAGAAACAGAGTGGCCATGCTCGATCTACAAGACTAAAATATAATCCCACAAAAGAGCACTCAAAGAGGAAAAAACACAAAAATATTTTAGTAACTTAATTACTTCTTCCCTCTAATTAAACATCACATTCTAAAAATATAAATTATATTCAAAGTTCCAAATAATGAAACACTAAATCAAATCTTACAACAATAAAGAAACATGACATAAGAATAATGAAGAAACACAATAGCAATGCTCGATCTACAATATTAAAACCTATTCCCACAAAAAGGTGCTCAAAGAGAAAAATATAAAACTATTTTAATAACTTAATTACTTCTTCCAAATAATTTCATAAAAGAAACAATTATAAAATCCTAAGACAAACAAATGCCTTTAACAAGATAAAATCCAAATCACAGAAGTAAGAGAGAGAAATTTTGAAGAATAACACAATGCTAAAACTCAAATCAAACGAAGCAAAAGAGAAAAACAATAAGAAAACTAAAAATCAACTAAATAGATCTATAATAAAGAAAAGAAAAAAACTAAAATGAACAAAATAGGGCAAAAAAACGTCTTGTTGTTCCACTAAAGGACAAACTGAAAAAATCACTGGGGCTAGCTAGACTCTAGAAAAATCTTCCAAATATAACAAAAAAGAGCAAAATAAATCATCTCAATTTTCATCTACAGATTCTACACAACCACAAAAATCAGAAGATAAAAGTTTAAGAAAATAGCTCACATCATAATAATGTGGATGGAATTCGTGACCTTGATCAAAAAGTGATTAGCTTGCATGATCCACTTCATTAATGAGGACGTGGTGGATGTCACATCGTCTTCATCGACGCGACATAAAAGACACTGGTGACGTAGTCACCACTACTTCCAACTCTTACAGGGAACTGAATTTTGCGAGTGATCGTGTCTTCATTTTTGTCGAGATAGGATTCAGCAATACAAGATTGAAGCCCTCCCTTCCGCCACCTCGTCCTCCATGGCGGAAATTCTTCAAGTATCCATGACGAATTAATTGACTAGGTGAAATCATTAGTTTGAAATGAATTGGGAATAGACACGAGAGAGAGAGAGAGAGAGAGAGAGAGAGAGAGAGAGAGAGAGAGAGAGAGAGAGAGAGAGAGAGGTAATGTGTAGTTTTTTGGGTAAAGATGCTAAAGAGTTGAGCAAGGTTTTGTTTTTGCTCAAGAGGGAGGGAAGGGAGGGAGAGGTGAAGAAGATGGTGTTTTCAAGTAAAAAAAATTGAATAGAAATTGTTGGTGTGTGTTTAGGTAAAAAAATTGAAGAAAATTTGTTAGGACCCACAGATCACCCAGTGTGGTATTTAGGTCTTATTCTATTTCAGCTGAACAAACTTGTAATATAATAGAAATGAGCTCAGTAGCATATGGAAGCACGATGACTGCATATATTGGTTGGTAATCAGAGGCATGATAAGAATAAAATACGCTAATTTCTTAGAATAACAAAAATACTCTTGTTTTAATGTGTAGTTTAATACGAGTTAACATGCATAGCATACATGGGTATTGCATAAAAACATCCATACATCCATCAGGTTGTGCAAAGGCAGATAAAAAGGAGGAGGTGGCCTCTAACATCTGACACAATAAATACTGGCTAATTGCCAATTCTTTATTTTTTTATTACCACACCTCCCCCACCACCAAAAAAAAAAATTTGTATTTGACTACTTGTTTCTCCACCAATAAAATGACCACCAACTGATGCTTTGAGAAGCTTTTTTATAGAGCTCAAGGTTACTACAATTTATGATTTTTGTACCAACGAACATGGTTAGTGTTACCAACCAACATGAGCTGCTGTCACCAACCAAAGTCAGTCACTTACTACTTGGTCGGTGTTGATTTTAACATTCTCACTATCTCTGAAACAACTTCTCTCGCTACCATGTCATACTTGTAGTTGTTGTTCAGCTTCTTGAGTGCAATGCTAGTGTTTGCTAGATCTATCATCAAGGCATGGTAATTATTTAGTATATGCATGCAAGCTTAGTCCCCAAAAACTTCCCAGTCATAGGGCCAATTTGGAAAACTCTTCAAAACTGGGCTAGGAATGATCATGGTCCAGTTTTGTGATAAACTGGTTCTTTTTTGACCAATGGAGGGGTGGTTCAAAAAAGAACCATTTTAAGCGCCTTTTTTTTGGCTTGGAAAAAATAGACCAGAACTAGAACGATTTTTGCTAATAAAAAGCAAAGTCAAAACTGGGCCAAATCTGAACCTGGCCCGGTATTAAGAATTTGCCAAACAATTCCTAGAATACACACAAACAATTTGAAAGGATTATCATTACGTAAGTACCGATCTATAATCATCTACTCTGTTAAAATCAACACCAATTTAGTGGTTGGTGACGACCTTTGGTTAGTGACACCAATCATATTGATTAGCACTAAATGATAGTAATTTTGAGCTCTACAAGAAGCTCTTCAAAGCATCAATTGAAGATCATCTATGGATAGAGAAATAAGTAGCCGAAGACAAACAAGTCTAGGTTACATTGAGATATTGTGAGTGTGTGGAGAAGAGAGGAACAATACGAGAGCGAGTGTGTAAGCATTCCTCCATCATAAGTTAGGAATTTGAGTAGTTGTGAGCTTAAACTAATGACAATCTTGCAAGAATACGTGATGTATTAGTTTGTGTACTATGAGAAAATAAAGAGTATAATATAGTTAACATGTACTATCATACTTTTCGTCCATCTACTCTGACTCAACAACTAGTTTCGAAGCCCAAGTTACGATGCGCCTTGGTTGATGTCTTTTTGCTTCAAGATTTTATTGCATTAGTTAGAGCTTAAGATGTAGTGCACGACACCATATTTACTCCTTGTGTAACTTGGTCCAATACAGGTTAGAGCTCCTTTGGGTGCACATGCCAATACACTTAGGCTGCTATGTGACTGCTTGTCTATGAAGTGTTAAGTTTAGACGCTATCTCCATTATTTATTAAGTTGTGGTAGTTAGAATCAAGTTGAACTCATCTGGACCGGAGCCAAGATGGAGATTTTCTTGGAGTTTCTTGCACCCACTTGGCGGCTAAACCGGTAAGGCTTTTTGGAGTGACAACAAGGATGAAGTGAAAATTTATTATACTCAAGTCAATGTGAATATTTGTCGAATGACTTGAACATGATCGAAGCAAAATCAAACTTGAGATAGACTTGTATGTGATTGTTGAATGATTTCATTCATGTGCCATATTCTTTGCTACTAGTTTGTTGTGGCAGTGGCAATCTCAATAAAAAAGATGTCTATACGAATATACAGGAATAATACAACTACATCTAGATAGTATAGACAGAGAAAACAACCAAGGATTTAATGTAGTTAGTCTATAAATTAGCTTACATTTATAGGTGAAGACAATAAGAGGAATTCGCTAATCACAAGAGAATATTACAACAAAAATAATTACTCTCTAATCTCACTTACCCAAACCACAAGAATACTCAATGATGAACACAATGGACCATTTTCATCTTCCTCAAGTCGCATAGTTCTTCCACACTGCCTATCACCACAACCCATTTTTTATAATGAATCCATCTTAGTGTGAAATAGACAAATGGGTTAGTGATAGCAGTTCTAATTGGTTGGTAGAATAGTAACCTAATTATCATAAGGTCAATGCTATGTTGCCTAGGTACGGGTGCGGGTGCGGGTACGGGTATGGGACACGGCAAATTTGTAAAAAGTAGGGTACGTGGACACGACTATATATATATAAAATAATTCACTTTAGATCAATATTCCAAAAGTTAAAACTATATTCCTTGCATAGGAAATAGAGTAGAAAGCTATTTTTACTTTAATTAAAAATTTAGAACTAATATTATTACCTAGATCTAAGTTGCATGGAAACTGGTACTGGTACGTGTGCGGGTACCACCGTACGGGTAGGTGACACGACAAAACTGTAAAATGTTGGGTACGGGTTCAAACTACATATATATATTGAATTAATAATGTACATGAGATAATTTTTTTCTGCTTCATGTGTCATTAGAATTAAAATTTCGATCACATTTTTGAGTTTATTTTATCATATTGACTATCGTGAATTGTAAACTACTCATTTTTTACTAGACATCTAAACAACCCATTAACTATATGGTTTTGAACTTGGGTATGGACTGAAACGAACTCAACCCGTATCCTATTAGTTTCAAAAGACGGATGTGAAGTGTAAGCTCTACGTCCAGGAAGTCTTTGACAAGTGTTTTAAATTAACACATATATCGTATAATTGAGTACATGTTGTAATAAATGCATGCATATATTCAAGAAGTGTCCATGAAGTTTGGGTACGGAAAAGTGTCGGGTACGTGTCCGGTACGGGTACGGCTTCAATAATGAAGTACCCGGGTAACATAGGGTCAATGTGATAAGAAAGAGAAGTGTGAATTTGCTCCTATCATATTCAAGTTATTCAACAACTATTGTATGAATCTTTAAGAATGAGGAGTGCTTATTAATTTCGTGGACAAAAAAGTTGTATGGATTTTTGAATGCCTCTTATGCATTCTATTTTGCTAAATTGTTCTTGACCTGTGTCATGTCCTGCGAAGACAGCTTCTAAACCACATTGAACTGAACAAATGGGATTGATTCAATTGAGTACCCCCAGCCAGTTTTGGTTCCGATTTTTCATGAAGCTTTAGCAAAAAAATCAACCAACCTAATTGTACGACCACCTCTACTTATATCCTATGTTACCTAGGTACTTCTAATCTGAACTTGTACCCCTACCCGACATGTACACACGTACCCAAACTCCTTTGGACACTCCTTGCGTATATGCATACATTTTATTCGGGCATGTGCTCATTTATACAATACATGTTTTAATTTAAAACATTTGACATACATTTTTTAGACATATCATACACTTCACATCCACTTCTTGAAACTCATTGGACATAGATCACGTTCTGGATAATGATTTTGAAGGGTCATTTGGATGTCTAGTTCAAAAACTAGTGATTTTCCAATTTTTAATCCACATAATAAAAGAAACATAAACATATTATAGGAATTTTAATTCTCATCCTTGTTCTCATATAAATTATTAATTCCAAGATATAATATATGCATATATAAATATTTATATAGCTACGTCCCTGTACCCTAAATTTTACAAAGTTGTCATGTCCGTACGATACCCATACCCATGCAACATAGCATACATGTACAGTATTCTACACACATACCTAACTACGTTTTTCTGAATCTACTTTGTGTTCATCTGCACCCATCACAGAATGCAACATGACATGCACCTGAGGATTTGAACTCCATTCTTGTTACCCCATACAGAATAAATTGGATTTACGATCTTCCTTTGTCCTGTTGATTTCCTACGAAAAATTTAACCAACCCCTCCAAAAATGGGCATAAACTCTTGGCTTATATACTCATCCAGCATCAGTCAGTCATTCACCACCTCTCTTTCAATCAAAATTGGCCACCACAACCAGTAAATCCAAACATTAGACAAATATTACATGTAAACCTAGGACAATTCGCTTCCTACACCAAAGGCCCTCATTCTAAAACAAATATATCCTAAACCACAAGGCAATGCCAATTTCATCGAAGTCAAGAATCAGGAACTCCTCAATATACTCTATTAATCTAGGAAAGATTCAAAGAAACTGCGACAAATTGAATTAAATAAATTTAGATCCAAGCTCACAAAACAACCGATTGAGTAATCAACAACTTGCATCGCAACAAACAAAAGGGTTTGCAGAAAAACCTACCTCAAAAAAACCCCTAAAATTTTGAGATTTGGATCAAAAATATTTCAAAGAATCGAGCACATAAAAATCTAGCACATTCTGTTCCTAATTGAGCGCAAAATTAGAGAAAAATTAGAAAGAAATGGGGGAGATCGTACGATTCGTACCTTTGAATAGCGTAGGTCTGGAGCTCTTCGTTTCTTTTCGATTAATAAATAGAAATTTTCAGGGTTCGATTTGAAAAAAAAAAGATTAGAGAAAAGGGAAAAGAGAGCTCGTCGAAGAGAACAGCCAGGTTGCGCTTGGGATGGCGTTGGAGAGAGACAGGGATGCGCATATGCGGTACGAAAAGGCGCCGCAAACTGCAAGTTGAACCCGACCCGGTTGTATGAGAACCCGCACCGAGCGAAGACTGATGTGGGATGTGGATCTAGTGGGCGAGAAGCTAGGGGTAGGCATGGACAGGGCCGTGGGCCGCCTCAGCCCAGCCCGCCTTCTGGCAAGAACCAGCCCGGTCCGAATTGGGTTTGGATGGGATAAACATCATATAATATTCTAACCGGATAAAGATTCAACGTGTCGAAATTCTATAAAGGATGCAAGCCTTACAAAAACTAAAGAGACGTTCGATTGACAGAAAATAGGGTCGTCAACAACTACAAAACTGCATAGGGAATACCCTGATATTGGCAAGATGGAAACAAAAATGCAAAACAAGAATCATAAAACTTGGATACCACGGTGTTTTATTTGTTTCTATGGTGTTTTTATCAAAAACAAAACACCATACGTTTAGAAACCATGGTGTTTTTAGAACTAATCATCCTCAAACCAAAAATACAACAATTATTTCAAACCATCTTTTAGGCGTTTTAAGTTTGGTGTTTTTGTTTTGAGTTTGACAAGTTGTTAATATAATATCTAACATAGTATATTAAATATAATTAATATAGAGTTATTATCAACATGCTTATTATATTATACCATATTATACTATAATATAATATAGTTAATTTAATATATTAGTAATATTTATTAAATAATATAAAAATATAATAAATAAAATATATTTTATAATAATATAATAAATATTAAATATCAATATTTAATATGTTAATAATGTATTACATAATAAATAAATAATAATAAAATATAAATAAACTAATAAAAATAACAATATACATAATAAATAAATAATAATAAAATATAAATAAACTAATAAAAATAACAATAAAGTTATTGACAATAAATAACAATATAATAATGATATAATAATATACTATTCAATAGTATAATCGCTATAATATTTTTAACTTTTAATAAATAAATTATAATAATTTAATAATTATAAAATATTATATAATAGTAACATATTTAGTAATAACATAACAATATAATAATAATATTATAATAACATATTGTATTAGTAATGTAATATATATAAAAATATTAATATATTATGTAATAATAATATAATTTATTATAAAGTAAAATAAATTTTAATAATAAAAATTTATTGCTAACAAATGTTAAATGTAAAAATATATATTATAATATAATAATATTTATTTATATCATAATACTAATATATTATTAAAATATTATTATATAATATATTATATAATATTAAAATATTTATTATATATTAATTTTTAAACATACTAGTAATAACATAATATTAATATTATTAATAATATTATATTATATGAATAATAGTATAATATTATATTATATTAATAATATTATAATATTATATTATACTAATATAGTATAATATTATACTAATAAATAAAATAATATTATTATAAAAATATTATATAATATACAACAATAATAAATTGATATACCAAAATAATTAAATATATAATTATTTAAAATAATATATAAATACTCTATAATATATAAAAATTATAATATAAATATAACTCATTAAAGTCAATATAATATTATAATAAATTATATAATATTTTATTGCATTACATTTAATACTTATAATACTATAATAATAATGTAAACTAAATAGGGAAAAATGTGTCCAGGCCCCAAAAACGGAAACTTTATGTGACGAGGCCCCTTGTATTCTGCTCCATGTGGATAGCCCCAAAAAAGTGACGTTAATTTGGCAAGGCTCATCCACGTCAGCATTATACTAAAGCAGATTGTATTTTATAAAAAAACCCCGAAATTGCCCTTCCCATTCTTCCCTAAACAACGACTCATCCCCAAAAGCTACATTATTCACGTCTCATTAATGCGATATGATGGAAAAAATGGAGGGAAAGTTCCCCCTTTTTTACTCTATCATGAGCAATAACTATTTAGTTCTCCATTACTCCTCCCATACAAAAATTCTCTCCATTACTCTCTCTATTACTCCACTGTATCCTAAAATTCGATCTACTACTCTTACATTCCCTTCATAATGGTTGAGAAGGACATTATCTGCATTGTCTCTTCGGGGGATAAAACAGTATTCATGAAGATTAACTCTTCAACCATCATTCTAGACCTCAAATTTGATGTGTCAGAGATGTTAGATCTTCTATATGATTCATTAAGTTTGTCATACAAAGATGAAACAAATGAAAGCTTCAAATTTCCTATTGAGAACAAGGGTGATCTGTCATCTATGGTGGAACATTGCCACAATCTTGGACTGAAAGAGGTTCACATACAAGTTTTTAAAGAAGCAGATGATTCTTCAAATATCAAAAAAAAAAGGAGCAAGTTCGACAAGACACATAGGTTATTGGATTTTTTGATGCTAAGATCAATATTTATGACGTTAAGTGTAAAATCAGTTAATGCTACTTCTAATCGTCGTCTTGTTAAATCTATGTTAGGTTTAATTGGATTTCAGTTCTAATTTGAGCGTATGTTAGTTCTACACGATTTCTTGTTAACTAGTTCTTTATTAGGTCAAATATGTTAGTTCTAATGGTATTCTTGTTAGTTCTAATCAATTTTTGTTATTTCTAGTGTCAGTTCCATGTGAGGTCAAATGTGTTAGTTCTAATCGATATCTTGTTAGTTCTAATGGTTTTTTTGTTAGTTGTAATCGATATTTTGTTAGTTCTATTCGATTTATTGCTAGTTCTAGCTCCAGTTCCATGTGAGATCAAATATGTTAGTTCTAACCGATTTCTTGTTAGTCCTAATTGTTTTATTGTTAGTTCTAATCGCCATTTTGTTAGTTCTATTCGATTTATTGTTAGTTTTAGCTCTAGTTCCATGTATGGTTAAATATCATAGTTCTAATCGATGTCTTGTTAGTTCTAATGGTTTTCTTGTTAGTTCTAATAGATTTTATGCTAGTTCTAACTGCAAACAGTTGTTATTTTTTCTTTTTTCTAATTGGTATTATTTGTTAATGTTACTACTATTTGTGTAGTTTATGATTATTTATGTTCTTAATATTTGTAGCGCTTCTAGCAGTTTAAACTCAAAAAGTATAGACTGTGGCCCGTCATTGTCGACGCCTACATGTGTTTCGGATAGGATTCCCAATGACAATCCTTCTGGAGATAATATTTTGATGTTTGATGACATGATTAATAAATCAGAGAGGATTCCTGCTTGGTGGCACACTGCTTTAACAGGTGAGGGACAATGATTTAAAAGTGCGAAGGAATTAAGATTGGCCTTGTTATACTACTCCATGGGAAAAAAATCGAGTACGAGTTTGGAACGAATGAACCAAAGCATATTCTAGTCTTTTGTCGATTTAAGGAAGCCAAAAATTACCCGTAGATGTTATTTGCCTCTCCAACTAAAAATGAAAATAGACTTGAAATCAAAAGGTTCGTGGACAATCATACTTGTGGTCAGCATGACAATAATGCAAGTCAATCTAGGGCCTCTCGATAATTTATTACGACCCAATTACAACCCACGTTAAAGGTCTGACCGGATATACGACATGTTGACATACAAAAGGAGTTTTTAAGTTCATATGAGCTTAGGGTCGATTATAGCAAGATATGGTTGGGTAAAGAAAGAGCACAAGAGTAATTATATGGTGATGCCTATGAGTCCTACGATCAATTACGATGGTAAAAAAAGATAATATCTATAATATACAAACTAATTTCATTTATGTGACGATGTTTATACTAATTTATGTAGAAGAGGTTAAGAAGACAAACCCATGTAGCTACATTCATGTTGAACAACATGAGGGGAGGTTTACAAGTCTATTCATCTGCTACGCCGCCTGCATAAATGGATTTTTGCATGGAGATAGACCACTTATATTTTTGGATGGTACCTTTCTGAAAGATCGATTCAAAGGTATACTCCTCAGCGTCGTAGCACAATGTTACATTAAACGCTGAGCGCTTCTAGGCGTCGGACTTGGCACCCAGCGCTTAGTCGCCTAGGCGGGCGCCTAAGCGGTTTCTAGGCGTTTTTTTTAATTGTGATACTTAAAGATAAATATATATATACTCAATTAAAGATGCATAAATACTAATATACCAACACTATTAACTAAATTGTTTGGTTTACCAATTAGGCAATTACAATAGCTCTTTGTATGTTTATACTTCTCAACTCAAATTATAAGTTCATCTTAATAGTAAAAAACTTATTCTTAACTCAAATTACTGTTAACTTATAAGTTACTGTTAAGTTTAAGTTAACAATAAACTTAAACTTATCACCGTATTCAGGCTCGCTATCCGCCTCATTGCCACTCTCCAGTTCTTCCACTGGTGGTTGGTCGGGGTCCTGGTATAGGAGAGAATCTGCGAAGTGGTTCTCGACGCCTTTAAAGGGATGTTTGTCGGCCACTACCGTTCTTACTCGCTCGTAGTCGTCCACGTACTTAAACTTAAGTTTACTGTTAACTAAAATATTGTTAACTTAAGTTTACTGTTTACTTAAACTTAAGTTTTTCATCAACAAAAAATTTAATATTAACTTAAACTTAAACTTAAGTTTACTGTTATCTTAAACTTAAGTTTAACTTAAACTTAAACTTAAATTTAAGTTCACTGTTAACTTACACTTCTTAAGTTTAAGTTACTATTGTTAACTAACTTAAATAGATATTTAAGAAGTACTCTTTACCTTGTTTGTAGTTACAGAGAGCGGGGAAGCTCGACAATGTTATAGAAGGCGCTATGCAGACTAGGCGTTTGAGCGAGCGCCTAGCGTCTAGAGCCCTGGGCGTACGTCTAGGCAGCGCCTAAGCATTTGACTATTTTTAAATTATTTAATTATAATAATTGATAAAAATATGTATTAAATTCATATAATTTTTTAAAAAAATATAGCAATCTTAGTTCCACAATAAATCATGCATACTCAGATATTAAATAGCCAAAATAATAATTAACAAGGTTAGAGCCTAAGATGTTTTCTTTTTTTATTTTTAATTACAATAATTGATAGTTAATGTTAATGTT